TCCTAAACCCAGAGTATTTGTCTGAAAGGATGTAATTATTGTATTTTTTAAATCTATAAACACGATAATTAGAATACTGTGTTATGCTATCGATTGGAAACCCTTATTTAATAAATGTTCTTAAATTAGAGGAGATTCGAGTTTATCATACCGAGGAGGTAATCAAATGTTTGAAATGAGGCATACTTTGTATGAGAAATTAAAATTGTTCTTTTCACTATTTTTTCTAGCATTTTTATTTTTTATTTCTTAGTTTCTAATTCTTTTTGCAAAAATAACATATAATTGTACAATGACTTAATGCCATAGGCATTTTCTCCCAGTCTACCTTTGGGTGGTGGGGAAATGACTGAGTAGGTGCACTAGATATTAAGTTTTTCTTTTAACGAGATAATAATTATTAAGGATATGGACAGAAACCGTGTGACAGATATACATACATACTGAGATACACATACATATATACTTGCTGAGTTACATACTATATAAGTTTATATATTATATTGTGTCAATATATATGAATGTCATATATGTAAACACAATGTAATATATAAACTTTAGGGATGCGATGAATCTGATAGAGTGTCGAGAATTCGAGCTCGGACTTTCGTCTTTAATGAGAGTCGTCTAGGTGTTATCCTGATTTCGAGAGGTCGAACGTTCCAGAGGAGGACATATTGGATTAGGAACGAAGAGTAGTACATGCGGCAGTATGAGTGGGGCATAACAGAAGTGGATTGTTTGTGGAACGTAGAGTTCTCTTGTGATTGGAACATAGAAATTGGAATAAGGATGTTAGGTAGGAAGGGGAAATAGATGAGTTGAGAATGGAATAGAGAGGGGTGATCGAGTGCAGCTGACGGCGTTTCGTTTAATTCGGGACGAGAGGGGTAAATACGGTTGTATTTGTGAAGGTTAAAGACGAATCGAATGCAGTTATTCAGAAGGCGGACATATTTATTAAGGAGGTCTGCATTGAGGTCATAATAGCATACATCCATATTTTCTCACCGTTTCAAATTTTCCTGGACTTCCACAAATATTTCTAGACCAAAATCAATATAATCGGTCCAGCCATTCTGGAGTTGTTAAGATTAACGATCAGCAACTATTTTTTTTTTAATGTTAATAAAAATTTTAAAAAATCGTGTGCACCTTAAAGTTCACAATGCAGTAAACACACAAATGAAGCTACCATATTTATTTATTTACAAACTTTATACACTTTTGTACAGGTAGATGCAAGGACGTTATATACACAGGTCAATACTTATATATACCTACACATATACAACACACACATACATATGTATGTATACATTTACATTACACGTATAGCTACATATAACTGTACGTTTAACTGATGAATATAAATTTGAGGTGTTAATATGTCTTCATTTTTTATATTTCACTGTATTTTCTTAAAATAATGTGTTATTTTGACATTTTACTTTTTATTTGTTTTATTTTTAACTTTAAATATTTTTATTAGTATAGTCTAAAGGAGAAGTTCTCCGAAACTAAATGTGTCAGGCAATGGTAAGTCGATAAAAGGCTGCTGCACATTGACCTAACCGTTTCTTAGTCCGTTTGTATAGTGTTTCAGAATATACTTGAAAATTTGTTTTCATTTTATAAATCAATTTGAGTTTTCATTGAACCCGTTTTGACTATTTCCCGTTGAAAAGACAAGTTTTCAATTTTTTTGTAGTAGTTTTAGAGTTAGTCAACAGACCTGACCAGACCTTTAACTTTTATTTATTTTTATAGATACCGAAACCAAAATCGACGTAGACGAGTTATTCTGTTGACATTTCGTTCTGCTTATTTATGGTAATGAACATTGCAATTATTTACTTCTAAAACAACTCGTATTGCTACAGACTAATGGCATTGCAAATGCTTAGTGTTTGATATTGAATTTGATTTTATGTCCAGGGGATAAACGGTGCACAGCGTACTTATTGAGAACACAGTAAATAATGAGGTGCTGTAACTGAGACGGTATCATACCGTTTAGTCCCTCTGTCAAGGATCTAGGCCTATTCATTGCGACTAGTATAAGTCAAAAACGACTGCATGAATGGCGTAATGGTTTAAGCGGTCACCTCGCCGTTTTCTACTGCGCTAAGTGTTGTGGGTTCGATCTCCACATGGGACACTCTGTGTGATCCACAAATTGTTGTCTTGAGTCTGGGTGTTTTTTTTGTCCTTCTCATGTATGTTTGTTAAGTCCCCCGCGATACAGGATTATATTCCCGGTAACCTCACTCACTCAGAGAAAAGCAAAAAAATAATTGCTTAAAACCTGTTTTCTCCTCCGGTCGAACTGATCCATATGTGCCAACGCATGGCTCTTCCACGTACAATGGATGATCACGTTTCTTCTTTTAGCTCTCAACTGGATTGGCTGCTGATCCGTCCCCACCAAAACCCATGTGGTTTTCCCAAGGTAAATTTTCGAAAAACGTCTAGAAGGTGTGATGCTGGTGCTGTTCATTGCAATATTATTATCTGAGATAATCTCGTTTAATGAGCAATTTAAGAAGAAAGTCACTAAAATTGAAATTCATAATCGTCACGATGCTACCAAACCGTCGTATAATATATACTCGTATTCGTTCATGCGAAGTAGGTACTTCTACCCAGTTTGCATAAACACTTATACTTTTTTCTTCTGCTTCTTCAAATGGTAATGTTGAAGACCCTTACCATTGCACAGACTCCTGTAATCGTTCATCTATATAAATAAATATAGGTCAGAGGGTTCGGACTTCCCAACAACCAGTTTGAGTTACCTCTATTGCTATATGATGTACGAGCTAACATTCTCCACTAGCTGTATAAAGAATACGTTCCCCTATGCCTTTCTTGCATTTGCCTTCTCTTCTTACGTTCTACTTACCTTTGCCTTTTAATAACATTTCTAATGTCCTACCTTTAATTCCCAAAGTCACCGACTGACGCATGTAAGCGAGACCATAATTAAAATTTACAAAATTTTGTGGTTCAATATCCCTCTAGTTACTCATTTGAATCCCTCAAATGAGTAACTAGAGGGATATTGAACCACAAAATTTTGTAAATTTTACAGCACATATATTATTATAAATAAAAATTCTAAAGGATCTCTCTTGCCATAACAAAATTATCAATATACTTATCACCTTTACCAATAAACGTTTTTAATGGCTGCTTCAGTGCTAAGAGCATTCATTGAAGATGGGCTGGGGAGGCTCCATGGTAACCTCTCTCACTGGCTAACGTGGATTCTGACCGGACACGGCTGTTCCGAGAGACAACGTTTTCGTGCCATCACGCTTTCGTGGAGAGGTCAGTGTAGATCCAACAATGCTAATCTCTATTAGCTTGACCTCTATTACCTAATCTCTATTAGCGTGAGAAGCCGTTAGATTACTTCCCATGGTTCTGTCCCCGGTCTATAGTGGGTGGAATTTAAGTGAGGTTCGCTAAACAGGTAGGAATAGTAGAGGGTCAGTACTCTTTCTTCCAAAAGTGGCATGAGGCACTGGAGAGGGTAGAACCTGTCTATCGGGGTACACGAGAACTTTCTCTCTAGGTTAAACTCGAGTCTCTCTGCAAATGACACTCATATGTGCCAGAACATAGTGTGGCTTTAGTCGGTTCGATTGTGACATTCCATTTGACCGTGAGCAGTTAGGTGATTTCCCGTGGGGTTTCCATACCATAAAAAGTCAAGTACCTAGGTGTTATAATTGACGATAGGTTAAACTGATATCATTTGGATATCAGTTTAACCTATCGTCGATATGATCATTTGGAACTGGTTTCAACTAGACTGAGGAAATTAATGTGGATTTTTTTAAACTTTACGGCATGTTACGTCAAAGTTTGTATTGAATAGAATATGGCGCTGGTTGAATCTCGAATAGCTTGCTGTATTCCAGTTTGGGATGCCGCTGCCAAAATAAGATTCATGGAGTTAATAAATAATAAAAAATATTTACAGAATAAGAATAAGGCTTCGGTTACATTTTGTACACGATTTACACATTTATTCTCGTTAAATTCTTATATAAAGCTTTGTAGGTGTAATGTCCATCGGTGTATAATAAATTAAACCCGTAGTCGTAACACCAACCTAAACAGTTTATTTACAACCACTTTGTACTACAAATTATAACGGTTAGCAAATATTCGAAGGGACTAGCGCGGAGTGTGAAAGCAAACAATGCCCTCTTGGGTGGGAGTAGGCTCAAAACGAAGCTGCTCCGGCGCCTCCGAGCTGACCCTAAGACTGCCGAAGGCCACACTTCGTCTACACAGCTGTTCCCCTATAGGTTATTACTAAAGCTAACATAAAACTAGTATCTTATGTTATGACTACTCTAAGATGTGCAAGAGTAAATAGAAAAAAGTGAAATCAAAATATTACAGATTCTTTTGCAAACGGCCTAAGCTAGGCGTGTGACCCGTGTTTGAGGCATTTAGAAAGAATCCAACACTTATTCATGTCCAAAGTTATGTATCATTTACCCGACAGATACCCACCTAACAACAATAATAAGAAAAATTCATGTAATGCAATCTATGATGATGTTAAAAAGTTGTTGTTATAATTATAATTAGTGTATGTATTTCTCAATTAACTTTTGTATTCTTGTCACTGTTGAAGATGGAGTCCCCTGTCACTACTTAAAAAGGCACCCCTTGTATAAAAGACAGAATGTAAAGAATCAGTTAAGTTTTATTATTATTCATATGAAGACGTACCTAGTTGTGAAATGTAGATTTCGTCTAAATTTCGAGACATCGCTTCTCTTCCATGTGTAATGATACCTACATAAATTCACGGGCATATATGTAGTTAATTTATGAGTGACAAAATCCGGAATATATAATTTATGCAAATTTTTATATTTGACATTAGACCCGAATAGCGATGAAAGATATAAAAGATGGGCGTTTAATAGATTTGGTATCAGTTGCACTCCAAGTAGCCACCACAACAACCAAAAATGAAATCAGTAAGCGTTCGCTTTTCTTTTTATTAAAATTTATTCCTATAAATAATGATTTTGAAATGATTTTTTAATGCTCATGTATATAATAAAATATTATTTCATGTGTAATATAGATAAAATTCAACTTAACAGTAGGGTTTTCAATACAACAAGGAGATTTTAGGATTTTCTACAGAATCTATCTACGAGTAGTCACGTTATCAATGAACATGTGACATGTTCATTGATAACCACACCAATAAACATAATATAATGGTTATTTTTACATAATATAAGTATAAGCTACAATGTTTTACTGCATTTCATCTTAATTTATAAACATCGCTTCTCTCAACCAAAAAGGTTTCTTTTCAACTTTATTAATTTTGAAAATTTTAAACTAATGTGTTTTTTGCAATGAATTTATAATTATGCTCACGTGTTAAATTCAACTTTAACTTTTAACTCATACCTCTTCTCTCTCTATGCAAAAAAGAAATAATTAAAAATATACGATATGATATCAAGACATTCATCAAAACAGTATAGTAAGTATATACAAGTATATATATAGTTATGTACACAGGTCATTTTTGTCGCCCTCGTCGTCGTGGCTGTTGCCGTTGCCGCTCCCACTGAACCTACTAAAATTGTTCGTTCTGAGTTTGACCAGTCACCTGAGGGTGGGTACAACCTATAGTAAGTACATATAACAAAATACTACATATATATTTTCATTGAATCAATCTCTAAAAAAATCTTACTATTTGTAAAAAAGGGCGGTAACATTGTTCCTCAAAATCTGTCATTCTATCTATTTGTGGATGTCTTAAAATATTAATAAATCGTAAAATACCGACAGCTTCGAGACTGATGACGGCACCATCCGACAAGAAAAAGGTCTAGTGAAGCAAGTCCTGGATGAGGACAAGAAATCCCGCGATGTAATTGTTGTCAGCGGTAGCTACAGCTACATCAACGACCAAGGCAAACAAGAACTCATCAACTACCAGGCTGATGAAGAGGGTTTCAAGGCTCAAGGAGACTCTATCCCCAAGGCTCCTGTAGTCAGACGATAACCAGTTAAGAACTAACATTTTATAAATGATCGATTGATGCTTAGTGATAATAGGTAATTAATTGATTGTTTACCATCTGCTCCTCAAGACTTGGAATCAATGTATATGTAGGGAAGTAATGCTATCACAAGTTAATATTTTTTGCTCAAAATTATGTTTTAATATTGTTGAGAATTAAAATGTTAATAGTAAAAAATTATAATCTAGACACTTTTCTTTACCCATTTCTTTACCTTTATGGTGTCTCCTCTTCTGTTTGTTTTGTTACTACTCAATATCGAATATTGCCACTGTTCTAAAGTTATAGAGATACAGATAATCAAGGGTAAATATTAAATTAAGTACCTGAATGACTGAGTATATGTATATATATGTATATGTATATGTATATGTATATGTATATATACATACATATGTACAAGGATTGGTCGTTTAAAGTTATTAGATTATGAAAGATGATAGGTTTTAAATCTGTTGACTAGGTAATAATTATATGGGGTGCACACGTGGAGGTTACCCGACCCGCACCCCACACCCGACCGGTTTGGGGTGCGGGTCGGGTAACCTACACGTGTGTCGCCGTATTTCTTGCCACTAATGACTACTGTGTCCGGGGGGAACGGAATCATTGGGCCGGTGCATCCTGGGCGACGGTCAATTACTTCCCTTTCAAGGGTGACTATTGGCCGCAAATAGTTATTTCTCGGCAGGGGGTGGGGGGGGGGGGGGGGGGGGTTAATCGCTCTTGGTACTCCTCTGTTCATCAGAGGAGACTGGACGAGCGAAGGGGTTGTGGGCAGTGGCCGAGGTGGGATCCGTAGGGAATCCAGGGGCGGGTCGGCCCACTGCTTACGCAGAGGCTGACAAGCACTAGTGCTGCCGCCGAACGGATGTAGAAACAGCTAGACTGATGTATTTTAGCTGTTTTCATAATGTAATGCCATATGGTTTTTTTTTGTGGGGCAATGCTGTTGACATTCAAATTATCTTTGTGTTTGTAAAAGAGAGCTGTTCGCGCAATCTATAATCTGAGTTATAGGCAGTCACTGAGGGATAAGTTTAAAGAAATTGGTATCATAACAGTTGCATCTCAGTACATATATGAAAATTTAGTGTATGTAAAGAAAAATATTCATTTATTCACAAAGTTTAGCGACGTTCACCAAATAAACACTAGAAATAAAAAAAAATGAACTCGTGTTACCAACCACCAGACTACAAAAAGTAAACAAGTCTTTTCGGAGTCAGGGTGTGCGATTTTTCTCCTCCTGGAAGCCGCCATCGTACAGGCCTGGGCTCCTGCGCCGGACAGGCCTGTCGACGTCGATGCTGAGTCACAGTGGTTCCGGGAGTGGTTCTACTGGTGGTCGCTGGAGATCGCACGGCTGCGTCAAGCCTGCGTGACCGCGCGCCGCCAGTGGTCCAGGTTCCGCAGGAGGCGTCGCCGCCCCGAAGGTGCGGCAGCGAGAGAGGCGGAGCTGTTAGCGGGTTACAGGGTTGCCAAGAGGACCCTTCAGGCAGCGATAAAGCGGGCAAAGAGCGAGGCCCGCCGCGAGATGCTGGAGACACTGGAGCGGGATCCGTGGGGACGCCCCTACCGTATGGTTAGGGGCAAGATGCGCCCATGGGCCCCGCCACTCACACGGTGTCTTCAGCCAGAGCTCCTTGAGAGTTGAAACTAAGGGTGGCGGTGTTACGGCTTAAAGCTAAAAACACCGCCCCGGGACCCGATGGCATTCCTGGCCGAGCGTGGGTCCTGGCCTTAGTCGACGAGGCTCTCGAGCCCTAACTGCGAGGGTTCTTCAGCGCATGCCTCGAGCGGGGCCAGTTTCCGAAATTGTGGAAGACGAGGAAACTGGTCCTCATCCGAAAGGAGGGCGCCCGGCGGACTCACCATCCGCCTACCGGCCCATAGTGTTGCTTGACGAGGTGTGCAAGCTCTTTGAAAGAGTGATTGCAAGGCGCCTCGCCAGGGTCTCGTGATGGCTGGGCCGGATCTGGCGGACAACCAGTACGGTTTCCGTCAGAGGCGCTCCACCGTGGATGCGATCATGCGCGTGAAGACTCTGGCGGAGGAAGCAGTCTCCCGGGGCGAAGTGGTGTTGGCGGTGTCCTTGGACATCGCAAACGCGTTCAACACTATGCCCTGGAGCTGCATCAGGGAGGCGCTCGTGTATCACGAAGTACCTCTCTACCTCCGCCGCATAGTCGGGGCATATTTGTCGGAGAGAGCCGTCGTCTACCCCAGTAGGACCGGTCTCGGTAGGCGTGAAATGTCGTGCAGTGTTCCGCAGGGGTCGGTGTTAGGGCCACTCTTGTGGAACATCGGCTACGACTGGGTGCTTCGTGGTGCCTTCTCGGATGGTGTCGCCGTCATGTGCTACGCGGACGACACACTCGTGACGGCGCGCGGCAAGACGCACCAAGAGGCAAGCTGCGGCGGCTGGGTCTCGAGGTGGCTCTGCACAAGTCCGAGGCCCTGTTCTTCCACGGGCTTCGGAGGAAGCCGCCTGAGGGATCTAGCCTCACGGTAGGAGGCACTCGCATCGGCATCGAGCCCTCGATCAGGTATCTGGGGCTCGTACTCGATGGCCGATGGGACTTCGGATATCATTTCCGAGGTCTGGTCCCCAAGTTGGTTGGGGCAGCGCGTGCGTTGGCGCGCGGCTGCTGCCCAACATGAAGGGACCCGATGACTCCTGCAGGAGACTCTACTCGGGGGTTGTGCGGTCCATGGCCCTTTACGGGTGCCCAGTATGGGCGGGGGCCCTGAAGGCCAGCAGCGTCGCGATACTGCGACGACCGCAGCGAGTGCTGGCCATCAGGATCATAAGGGGGTACCGCACGATCTACTTTGAGGCGGCGAGTCTCCTGGCCGGAACTCCACCGTGGGACCTGGAGGCGAGAGCCCTTGCGGCTCTGTTTCAGTGGCGCAAGGAGGCGCGGGAGTTGGGTCATTGTCCCGAAATTCGAGAAATCGATGACCGGAAAGCCCAACTCCGCCAGGTCATCATAGGGGAGTGGAGGGAACGACTCGGGCAACCGAGCGCCGGGCACGCCGTCATCGCGGCGGTAAGACCCGTTATAGAGGATTGGCTCGAGAGGCGTCACGGGACCCTCTCATACCGATTGACGCAGGTGATCACTGGGAAGGGATGTTTCGGGGATCACCTGTGTCTGATCCGCAAGGAGCCAACGCCTGAGTGCCACCACTGCGATGGCCAGACCGTGGACACGGCTCTCCACACGCTGGCAGAGTGCCCGGCGTGGGTTGAGCAGAGGCGAGACCTCGTGGCGGCCATCGGAGTGGGAGTTCTCTCGCTCGATGGCCTGATTGCTGCTATCATGCGGAGCGAGAGTGCGTGGAACTCTGCGAGCAAGTTATGCTCGCGAAGGAGACGGCGGAGCGGGACCGGGAGAGGTTTAGGACTCTCCCGGCCCGCCAGGCCCGGGAACGGGCCAGGTACCGCAGGCGACTCAGGCGCCGGAGGTCGCAGAACGACCTCCGTCCTCCATAAGCGCAGGCCTGGGGGTGACAGGTGAGGCCATCTGTCACCCTAGCAGAAGCAGGCCGGGGTGGCGGAGAGCGCGTTGCGAAGCGCGCTCGCTTCCAGGGAGCACAGGGAACATGGGGTTCCCACACGGGGGGGGGGGGGGGGGGTCGTCTACTCGTCTGTAGATGACCCGAGGTATGTCGGGGCACCAGGGACTTCCTTTCTAGGGTATACCTGGTTCCCCGGCTATTAGTACCCGAGACGGCGTGCGGTTTTAGTCGGTTCGAGTCCGACATGCCACCGACAGGTGGTATCCGAGGGGATTTCGCAAGAAAAAAAAAAAAAAAAAAGGGTGCGATTCTACTATAAAATTCCAGGCAAATTTCATGAACTAAGTATTAACAAATTTAAGTCTTTAGTAAAACATAAACTATGTGAAAAGGCTTACTACAAAAGGCTGCTGCTTACTAAAGGTTAGAGATAATTTAGATGACAAATTTGCTTGAGATTGATGCTGCTCACTCCCGCTTTTACTATCATTTCCTATCATTGTTGTTGTGCTTGAAAGTGATGGACATTTACTGTATTCTTCGTATCTTTTTAATTTGTTTATTTTTCCATTAAACTTGAATTTTATGGTATTATTTTGTATGTAAATGTGAGTATAGTGTAGGCTTGTAATGTTAGTTCAAATTTAGAAACTTCCTGGTGGTTTTGAGTGTTTCCTCGGCCTACTGAAATGTCCTGCAGGCGGTAGTGTCACGGTTCTGGTGGTTAATTTTGACTAATATCGGTTAGACTACACGATGGCTGGGGCTTGTATGCCGTCTGTATGGGCAGGCCGACTCAAAACTATGGCCCTTTCTTCAAAAGGTCTACCCAGACCCTACGCTGTACTCGTATAATTTTCTTAAACTTTGGTTGCGGACTATAAAAAAGGACCCTCTGTGGTTGGTTTCGGCGTTTCTTCCCAGAGTGACTGTTAGGAAATGCCGGCTCCATCTAGCTGTAAAGTGCGACTTGTAAAAATATCTGAAAAGATTTACTCGCAGAAATAAATATCATTTCATTTCATTTCGGTGCCGCCGGGATCCAGTACCTCACTGGCCGAAGTAATGCAGGCCGCGAAGGTCCGTATTAAGCTTGCGGAGCTTGGCATTACGGGCGGGGTTCGCCAGCGAAAGGCAGTCACAGTAGTGCTGGAGGTCCCTGGGCCGGTCCCTCCGCACGATAGCCGACCGCTTGAGCGCGGTCATGAGCAACACAGATCCGCGATTTATACGTCCGTGCAAGACGGCCGTCGTTTTTTGTTTTGTTGTTTAAACAAAACAAAAAAAACATTATGGCGTCCGTATGTAATGCCTCAATGCCCCGAGTCAGGCCAGCCAGAAAAGGCTCGGCGTAATGGTGTAGCGTGGAGATCTCACAGCTGAGAATGATTGCGCCGCCCGTATCTTCGAGCCTGGAGAAGACGGCTAGCTACAGCTGAGGAGATTGACGTAGCAC